TGGAAGTAAAAGTATTCTGCCAGGATGAACATAAGCATGTAGTTTTGCCACCTGCTCTGGCTTTATTTCTAGTAGTTTGAGAGAATTGTACACTGTAAATCTAACAGACTGTAGCATGTAAAGGGAAAAAAAAAAAAAAAAAGATTTATTGCCTCTGGTCATAAATAGCCTAGTGATAACATGGGAATGAGTGATGCATAATTGACTGGCAAATTAGCTGTTAGGTGATTAGGGTTGCTATGATTTTTCTTTTCATTGCTGGTAAAGCAGTTAGTTGAGCTTTGCTGTGCAGATCTCTGCAGAGTTGTTCTGTGCCTTGGTTCGTGGCTAACTGAACGAAAATGTGTGTCAGCGATATGTTTTGTTGCTCAGACAACAAGAATGGAGTTTGCATGTGCAAAATCCCTCATGGTTATCAACTTAGATACTTTTATAGAGTAGGCTTTGGTAAAATCAGACTTCCTTTTATTAAAAAAATAAGGCAGTGAGGGAGAGAGCTTAGCTGCTTCAGGGAAATCCTCGGCTCAGAGGTATTGGTGTGTCTGAGTGGTGTCCCTGTTACCCAGTTAAACGACCCCRGCGTGTGTCTCAGCCTTGACCCACTTCTGGGGCAAGCCAGTAAATCAGGGGCCTGAAATCCTTTCGTCTTCGGGGAGGCTTTCAACAAGGGGTCAGCACATTGCTGAGACGGCATTGCTGCCGCGTTCACCTGCCAGTTAGGAACCAAATCTTTTTTTTTTTTTTTTCAGTTGTTTTATGTATGAATCTCTAAATTCACTAAGAATTCACTGTTCACTGAGAAGAAAGCATTTACTCAGAACAAAAGTGTTCCATATGTTTTTAGGGTTTTAATTTTGTCCGTTCCCTGTCCTTGCTTCAGATAGCAAGGATAGGACTCAGCGGATTGATTACTTCGACTTTGTTAGTCTCCCTAGGTTCCTTTTACCCGGATGAAATCAGCACTTCAAAGGGAAGACTCATTTCATCTTAATGTAGACAACCAGAAGAGCATGGATGAGCTGTGTACTCAGTGTGTCCATTCCTCCCTATTAGCACTAACAAGAGCACAGGTGTACAAGTCTGAAGGTGGAGGAGGGAAATGCTCCCGCAGATGTCTGACCATAGTGTTGGTCAAGCAAAACAGCCTGGTTGTCCAGGCATGGTGCTCCAAGGGAGGTGCAGCAGGGTCTCTCCTTTAGCCTCCTGCTTCTCCTGCCCGCACCTCAGCAGTAGCTGCACGAGGGTGTCTGCTCATTGCACAGATTTCTGCTTCTCTGGATGCTTGTGAAACACCACAAAAGAAATGCTAAGCACATGGATTGGTTTTTTTTTTCATGTATTCTTTATTTATCTTCTGCCATTCTCTCCTGTCCTGCCAAGCATAGTGTAATTAATTGATATGCACAAATCATTATCTTCAATTTGATTTTTTAAAGTCATGTTGTATGTTATCTTTTTCACAGAACAGGGATTAAGTTTGTAACTCAGCAATACATTTGTTTATATTGATCCCATTTAATGGCAATATCCACTTCCTTGTTAGCCAAAATTAGTTGAATGCTGGCATGCAGAAATGGATTTTTCCTATAGCCAAAGGCTTGCAAGATGCCTATGAATGTTTTACCATAATCCATCTTTCCATTTGAGTTCTGATGCATGAATGGAGGCAGCGTAATTTCAGTGATGGTTTGCAGGATTACTATTTTCAGCATAAAAAGCTGTCCCATTCATAAACTAACTACCATCGCAGTTTATAAAGCAGCATTTAGAAGTGTACCTCCATTCAATATCCAGTATAAAATAATTCCTTTGAAATCCATGGTATTGTGTCTGTGTATGCCAGGTGAGAAATTAGCCRAATAGTAAAGAGTACCATTAGTTCAGCAACTGCAGTAGCAAAGCCTTATGCTGCAGATTCGTTTCTGCTAAAAAAGAAATCAAGACAACATCACCARAATGGCAGAAAGTATGAAATCAAACCTGAATTGCAGGGTGAGGAGGGGAAATSACAGCTTTGAAAGTCAGGAAACTGAAGATGACTCCAGTTTCTTCTGCCTAATACAAGATTATTGTCTTTGCATTGACTATAAATATTCAGTATGGATCCTGATTTTATGATACATTCACGTGGATGTGACTTAGCCACCAAGTATGAGTATTTCTCCGTGTTGACCTATAATTACAGAAGAAAATGGAGGTTATGATGTAGGATATAAATCGACAACTACTTCTGTCCCATGCTTAGGTAGTTGACCATTGCATCTCCTTTTGGTCCCAAACAGTGGAATCTCTATCCTTGGAGAKACATAGACCTCAACTGGAGATGACCCTGAGCAGCCCTGATCTGAGCAGGGGGTTGTCCCACCAAACTCAAACCCTTCTGTCCTGAATTACTCTGCGATTATGTGCCAGTAATTCAAGTTTTCATTGAACTAGTTGTAGTTCTTAGTCCTCGAATATTGAAGTCAAGATCAGCATCTCATTGTCACAGGCACTTTTCACCAATGCTAACCTAATGCATTTAACCAATGCTAACCTAAGCATAAAGAGTTGCCATAATTGAGAGACATTTAAAAATGCTGCATTTTCATTTGTTCTTTGTTGTCTTTCTTTTCAGACCTGAGCAATCAAAAGATTTAAGATCTTTTTGAAAATATAACCAAATCTCCATTGTATTCACAAGAGCTGAGTGCTCTACTTTTAACCACCCTTGAAAGACAGCTACCCAATAATGACACTAGCAGTAAATTCTCAACTGGCAGTTGATGCTTTGTATAAAATTCAATATAAACTGCCAATTAGGTGAAATCTGCAACCTGCCTTCTGTAGAACATTAGGCTGCGTTGTTACACAAGTMTCTCTTGACATTTGTGTTTGTAGATAGACTTTTTTTGAGTTCTAATAGCTTCTCAGATTTGCCAATATCTGACTGGATTGCGTTCACTAGAAGAAAATCAACAAAGTGAATATTTTATTTCATGCTGAAAACTACCAAAAAAGAAAGACACTTATTTTAGTTATCAATTTGCTAAGTTATTATCCATCTAATATCATTTTGGACAGAAGACAGCCAAATGGTCCAGGAGCGGATAGTTTTTAAGGGCAAATTGAAATTACACAGCTYAAATTTAAGTCATTGTAACATAGAAGTAACTAGGAATCTGCCAAAATAAACAAATGTGCTCTACATAAATAAAGAAGGAAGAAAAATAAAAAGAAACACAATAACAAAACCCACAGTAACAAGTGCACTGATACACACTTGTCAAAATCAAATAAAACACATAGAACTGTATAGTTTCTTTTCTTGGGGTGGTACATACTGTGCACCTGCCCAAACAGAATTTATGCTGCATCCAGAATATAAATTGGCAGAAGAACCAGTTTTTCCCTAACATTCATGTTCCCAGCATTCAATGGTTGTTATTAGTGGAAAGGGGGAAAATCTTGCTCAGTGATTAGAAGAAAAAAGTCACTGTCACAATCAAGARGTGGCTATTAGGCTAGAGCAGAAGTCAGCTCAAGTCCTGGATACTGTCATGACTAGGTCTAAGAAAGAGTTCAAGTACCCCAGCCYTTTGGGTATATTCTCAAAAATATCTGATTTAAATAATACAAAGACCATTGCATTGYGTCTGTGGGAGATGAGGTTATGCAACTTGGTGGGCTTAGCCTGGAGCCTAGAGAAGATGGAGAGGGAATTTTATCAATATGTGTAAATATCTGAGGGGAGAACACAGGAAGGATGGAGCCAAACTCTTCTCGGGGGTGGCCAGTGACAGGACAAGGGGTAATGGGTATAAATTGAAACACAGGCAGTTCCATCTGCATGTGAGGAAGAACTTCTTTCCTGTGAGGGTGMCAGAGCCCTGGAAGAGGCTGCCCAGGAGTCTCCTGTGGAGTYTCCTTCTCTGGAGATCTTCCAAASCCGCCTGGSTGCCACCCTGTGCCCCGTGCTCTGRGTGTCCCTGCTGGAGCAGGGGGTTGCACTGGGTGATCTCTAGAGGTCCCTTCYAACCTCAACCCTCCTGTGATTCTGCATAATGGGCTCCTGGGCTCCTTTGCCCATGCCTGGCTGCAGGCAGTGGTGGACGAACACATTTGGAAAGCAGTGTGTTCTTCTGTGTCCCGTGGAGGCTTCTGAAAACTTCTCTCTCTAGGGAAAACAGTTCAGTTTTCTCAGTATTTTTATTATAGTGTTCAACTTCACTCTATGGGAATCCATCCTTCCTTGATAGCTATGGAAATTTCCTCTCTTCCTTATGCTTTTTTTTTTTTTTTTTTGTAATCATCCTTGCCATATTCCCTGTCCTTGAGTGTTGTTGTTGTTGTTTGATTGGTTGGGGTTTTTTTGCATTCTCTTTCTAGTTTTCCTGTCCTCTGAGTACTTTGCTGTCTCTGGCTTTCCTATGATGTTCCATACATAGTCTGAAAGGAAAAAAAAAATATCACTATTGACTACTAAGAGACAAGAGGTAACACTCCAGTTAGCTTAATAACGAGGAAGGAAATTGTTGTTATCTTTTAAGACTTCTAAAGATTTGGAAAAAAAAGATGTGCTCAGTTAGGCACATAAACTCAATTGGGTAGAATCCAGACYTTAATTTATTGCATGTGTCAGCTCTGACACAGAAATGTATCAAGCATTTGAAATTTGAATCATCAAGTGGATATTTGACATTTAAATTACAGTAGATCATGAGGGATCAAATGGTAGTTGAGAAAAAGCTCTGKGTGTTCCTTTATTTCATGTATGGAGTATTTCAATCATTACTGTATAGGTAAATTAGCAACTAGTTTTCTGTGTCACTGATAACCTGGCTACAGTCCTTTTTATTTATTTATTTGTTATATTCTCACCTCCAAGGTTTTGTTGGCAATATTTAACCCTCTTTCCCATGGTCTGAAATTGGATTCAGGGTGCAACAAGTCTGTTTGCAAACAGTTTTTGTTCAGCATCTCACCTGTGATTTCATTTTGTTTCTCTTTCCAATCAGAAAATGAAGAGTTTGGCCCAAAGACGCCAGTCTGCACCATCTTTGATCTTTGTCAAAGCACTTAACAGGTCTAGATCCGTCTCAAGGTGAGTCAGTGAGTTTTGATGGTTGTATTATCCTGCAGTTTTCCAGCACAAAACTGGAGATGTTGTTGAGCTGGAGATGTTTCTGAGCTGTTGTTCATATCAGGTTACCAACTTGTTGTCCATATTGGGTGGCTATGTTGCCACTGTTCACTTCTGGTAGCGGCAGAGCAGCAATGTCTGCTGAGAGACATGATACGTCCAGAGATACTCTGCCTGATCTCCTGGGAGGGATTCCTGTGCTCTTCTCACACGGCCACTCTACGCTGTTGAGTTGAGTGGGCCAGCAGAGCTGCTCCCCAGTTTGCAACCAGATTTGCACCCTTGGGCTGCTTGTTATTTTTTGACTAGCCATGTTGGGATGATTGCATGGACAGGAAAATTATGGATGGATGTTTCCCATTTTTCACCCTGTACACTCATGCAGTGCCAAGTCTAACTCTGCGCGGTTATTGTGGGATTGCACTATTTAGACTGAGCTAAGTTCTGCCATGGAGTGCTGCCTAGCTCAGCATGGCAGAGTGTGTTGAAAGTTCTAGAACCAGATGCTGATTTAGGACAATGATGTGGTCGCTAGGAGAGCCTTTCCCTTCCGGCAAGGTCATCTTGTGGAGCTGAGTATGTGGTGTGTTATGTGTTCAACCTATTTTCTCTTTACCTTCTGCCAGGATCTGCTATTCCTCCTCTCTTCCTGCCCCAATGTAAAGTCTCCATAGAAATGGCTGGATATTGCCCAGCTCCAGCCCATGACCTGCAATTTGAAATTCTTTGCATAGATAACTTTAATATTCTTATGCTGCAGTTTATTAGACTTTAAACTTAGAAAATATAAGTGTTTACTAAAAGCAAACCATCTGATAGACCATTAGTACTTCTAGTTGTGTACAGTTCTTTACAAAGAAACATTAATGATGGAAACTAAAGGGTAGCTTGGTAAAGAATATTTTTCTCCTACACTATGTTAAGTAGTCAGTATGTGAGCTCTGGAAAGTTTTCTCTGATCTAAGTAATACCTGGTTTCATATTTGTCTGAATTCATGCAGAATTCCATTTTTTTTGGAAACCGATGGAAGTATTCTGAGAAAATTTCAGAGTTGCAGAATAGGAAAGAAAAAATAGTTGAAACTACTTGCAGGTCTTTTTACTGGTTATGACATAAAAGAGGAAATGTAGAAAAGAATTCCTAAAGGAGTTTACACCTTTTTTTTTTGTGTAGTCTTGTGGCCTGAGCATAGGACTAAGAGCCAGGAACATGTGTTTTAGTTCTGGCTCTGAAGTTTCCTCTGTGGCCTCCCTCTGACTTTCTTTCCAGGTTTCTAAAATAAGGCAAATAGAAATTTTGTAACTCCTTCATCAGAATGCTGATTTTTTAGAATGTCTATATTACCATATCTATTTTCCATTTGCTAATAATAGTAAATTATTCTACATTGTATTTGTACATTCTACATTGTACTTGTAACTATATTGATAGTTGTGATAACACCTTTTGGGCATAGATCTGACTTTCAGAACTGAGATGCTAAAATTAGAGAGAGATGGATTATTTCTATAGGGAGTAGCAATAACTGGAGAGTACACAACGCAAGAGAAATCAGGTCACCTCTGGTTTCCTGCAGTTTCTAGGTGTCCTGTGGGCACCTATGTGTCTGTAATGTCTCCCTGTCAAGCTGTCTTAACACTTGCTATTCCTTGCAAGAAAAATAAATTATATTCAAAGCTCATATTCCAAGACTTTAATCATTTGCCCACAAGGCTTCAGAAATTAGTATTTTTTTTCCTCACTTGTGCATTTTCTTGTTTTCCTGCCTACTCCAGAAGTATCAGAGATTGACCATAGCTGGAGGCAGCTGGCGTAATGCTCAGATGTAACTTCTGACCTCAGAGTTCGCTTTTCATTAGATGTAAATATGTCTTGCACATAGTTCATGTCAAAATACACTTCAGATTTGGTACGTGGAAGGTTTATTTCATAAAGACTCTTTTTGATGGAGAGGACTGAAGAAGGGGAAATATTGCCTTAGTCTGCAGAAGGGGCATACTTTACTGGGCAGAGACTAACCCCTCAGTTTGAGGATTGCTTGATACTGCATCAGTCAAATCTGTCCTCGTGTGCAACAAGTTGGCCCCTCGTGTTGCTTTGAACTGAAGTCTATAGCCTCAGTGTAGGGGTATCTGGTGCAGTTTGAGAGTCCATGGGCCAGAGCAGGTGATTTTGTAGCTTCAGAGTCCATCATTAAAAGGATAACTTTGGATGATGATGAGTTTGTTATTGTTCGCAAGAGTAGTAATACTCACCTATGCCAAACTTCCTTGTTTGGCTGTGCAAACTGCATTYTTCCTCATCACTCAACTGATGGATATGTTTGAACTTCCCACTTGGTTTGCCATGTAAAACTCTTACGAAGTGCTTTCTGTTAAGACTTTCTAAAGAGCAATAAATTGACTTCTCATGGTTTCTAATCTTCTCCAAATGTTTTATCTCAGAGCTGTTTCAGCCCTTAGTTCCCTTTCTTGTAGACTCAGCCAGCCTGTGAAATCCATTATTCTCCTCTGGCAGTGAACCTTAATACTGAGCCTCCAGAACACTGACTTGTTAATGGTTGATTAATGACTTGTAGATAATAAAGCTCCTATGCAAAGTTAGCAAACATCTGTGAGGGATTTATATGAATCCTCTCACCTCAGCAGCTGGCTCACCTCAATATTTGTTGAAATTAATGAACAAGTGCAAAGTTTAAAAGGGCAGGAAATACTTAGAAGCACAASTCAGTTTGTATTTTTATTCCAGTTTATACATCAGGTGCCCTTGGATTATATACAGGGCACCTTCATAAAGTGTGGAGGCAGCCATTTGAGGCAGACCCGCCTTTGGGTAATTTAATGGTATTTGTTCAAAGAAATCATTGTGACATTTGGAGATGGCTGTTTCAACTCTGAGAGAACTGGGTTTTTTTKTTTTTTTTTTTAATGGTAATGTTGCTGCAGTTGTAATGGGGCAATGATATAAGTGAGACAAGATTGGCAGCGAGACCTAGTATCTTTTATTTAGACAAATTGATCTAGTTGGGGGAAAAAAAAAAAGCAGACTCTCTTGTGCTCTCATGCTCTTCTTCAGTCCTGAAAGAGATGCAAATCTGAAGGTCTTCTGTCCTTTAGAGCATGTTTTTGTTGGATTTTTTTTCATCTATATCATTTGATTTAAAGAAAATTAAACCTTTCTTAAGAATCTTGCCATGCCTTGTAGGCTGTATAAAAGCAATTGGAAATGTTTATTCCTACAGAAGAATTCTAAGATCATTGCGTATTTAATGGTGGTGCTGTACAGTTGTGTAATCAGGTTGTTGCTGGTATGTCTGTCTCACTCGAGCGTAACTGAGGCCAGCAGAGGAATTGCTTCTGATACACATAGGATATTATAGTGGAATTTGGGACTTTACTTCCAACAGATAAAGGTATACAGACTGCTTTTTACCTCCTATTTTTGCTTCGCTTCCTTTTCTCATTGCAATTTATCCTTTCTCACAAAGTTGTGATGGACAKGTGTCCCTGCTTGAGCAGGAAGGTTGGACTAGACTATCTGTAGAGGTCCCTTCCAGCCTTCGCCATTCTGTGATTCTGTGATTCCGTGATAAGCATGTAATGACTGTTTCACACCATCAGATGTCCTTTTTGGAAGCAAAGTTTTTGGAGAGATACATTGAAAAAGTAAGCTTTTGATATTTAGTTTGGCTGATATTTGATACAGAAAAAAATGATTGAGAATTAACTCTGTTAATATGGATGAAATCAGCAAAGACCTTAGGTTAGTTTTATTTGGCTCTGGAGCTGTTGTGCAGTTAAAATTTTCCTCTTTTTTTTTTTTTTTTCTTGGCATCCTTTAATGAAAACTGCCCTTTTTAAAGGATATACTTTAATTCAACAAATATTATAAGCTTGAAACACTAATTGCTAAAGCACTTGAAACACTAATTCCTTCGCTGCCTCTCAAAATAATTTTCCTATGTATGTGACAATGCACAAGCTACCAAGTTTTTATTTTGTGTAGATGGACTTCTTTCCCAATCTGGGATCCCTATAGAGCCAGTCAAATTCTGGACTTCTTTCACTGGTGATTTCCCTTTCCCTAATGCACATCTCAGAAGCCTTTTGAAARTCATGTTTTTAGAACTATGCACTGTTTTTACATGCTAAAACTTACTGATACATTTCAGTGTTCTTGAGTCTTCATGATCATTTACAAATATGCTTCTCTATAAACTAACATGACTATCGGTCATGACCAGTGTTGTATGCAAATGATATTATATTTGATGTAAAATAGAAGGAAGATATTATTTTAAAACAAGTTTGATAACGAAATCTTTAATGAACCTGAGAAGGAAATAACTAAGAGAACAACCCCAAAGCTTATATTATTTGGATTGTACAGTTGAATATGTTAAGGTAAAAACAGAGGATTTCAGAAATATCTAAGGTGTATTTCCCTCTCCTGCTAGCACAACAAATATGCCAGTCTTCATGGAGAGGCTGCTCTTCCTTTTCCTAACTCACAGGAGATGATTCTGGAATGTCATCTGTAGTGGGACCAGTGCCAAATGCTAAATACCCCAGATGATAACAAAGATCAATATGTATGATCTAGTAATATATCCCATTTGGCTGTAGTCAAATGCAAAAGGTTCCCCAGMTCTTAGGCATTGGGTCTGCAAGGTTTTAATCGGAAGGTATGTGGATGATCCAAGTTATGGGGCTGCAGGAGAAAAAATAGAGAGATTTTTAATAAATGTAAATTGCCAGAAGGTCTTAACTGTCCCTTTCTCACAGAGAAGATGAGTACTTGGTGTATTAGACAAATCCGCCTGTAGAGAGTAAGAGAATAGAAGTTTGTTGTGAATAACCAACCTGTTAAGCATACATTTCAGCTGTAATCGTTCTGCCTGTTTCCATGGCAGCAGATCATTTTGTGGAGCAGAAGAGCTCCGGCGAGGCGAGTGCGCTGC